CAGGCCTGGCCCTCGGCCGGTCCCATGAGGCCAGCCGTCCCTCCCCAGACCAGGCGCAGAGCCGCCTCCAGATAGGAAACCAGAAACGGCCAGTCGGAGCACGTCCGTGGCCTCCAGGCCCCCACAGTCCCACGTTCTCAGGTGCAGGGGTCAGTCCTGGCTGGCTGGCTGGCCCGGGAGCCCCTGGGCACCCCCTAGTTCTGGAACCACGTCAGCCCTTGGTGTGGGGGTCGGACCCCAGGGCTGCTGGTGGGACAGCCCCAGTGGCCTGCAAACGCCTCCCCCAGGTTTGCAGGACACGGGCGTCGGTGGCATGGCGTGAGGGAGAGCTGGGCCCAGAGCAAGACACAGGGTGACCGGGCGTGGCCGGAGCCCGAGCTGGGGAATGGAAAGCTGCCCCCTCCCTGTGCCCGCGGCCCGGCCGTCCCCTCCACTGGCACAGTTGGCAACAAAGATCAAGTCCTGCCGGCTCTTCCCCGGGAGGCCAGGCCTCCGCGGGCCCACAGTCGGGGCCGCCGACTGCTCTTCGCGGTGGCGCCGGCACGCGGGACCTGGGCGTGGTGGATGTGTCTTGTTTGGTTGGTTTTGTTGCTGCTTGGATCTTAACATCTTTTTTTGTTTTGTTTTTTGTTTTGTGATTTTTTTTTGTTTGTTTTTTGTTTTTGCCCTTCGCGGTCCGAGAAGGAAACGGTGGACGCTTTCACTACAACAGAAACAGAAAGGGACTAGCAGTTTCCGGGAAGCCGCCGCGGGCGCTGGGGCCGGGTGGTGCTAGGGATGGCCTGGACCCCCAACCCCCCACCTGTCCTCCCGCCCAGCTCTAGGACCCCTCATCGCGCGAGAGCTGGAGTTAGAGGGGACGTCTGTCCCCCAGGGCAGAAGGTGGCTGGAACGGAGGGGCCACAGGGGACCCGGTGGCAGCGGGGCTCTGCTGAGGTGGGCAGGGGCCTGGCTGGCTCTGGCAGGAAGGGGGTGAGGGGGTGGCCACGTGGGCGGTGTGGCATGAGGCAGCTGAGAAGGCGGTGCTCTGAGCCTGATCTGCCCACCCACCC